CACATCGGGCAGCAGTCCCCACGGCCCCTCCGGAGTTATAGAAGCCACGAGGAGGAACCGATGCACAAAAAACTCTTCTGCGTGCTGTTTCTGCGAAGATAAGGAGACTAATGTGGGCTTGAGAGACCGATAATCATCCCACACAAAAGCGCCGAGCGCGCCAGGGATTCGCGTTCCTTCAGATGGGACCTCTAAATTATGCATGGCCAATAGAAGATAATTCATGCTCACACACAAGCACCGGTGAAAATGCAACGGTAACGATGCACGAAACTTGCATGTTTGTTGTCCTTCCCCGCACCTCCGATTAGCACGGTCGGCTATGCACGGTGTGAAAGAAGTTCAACATACATACGTACATGCATCTCTGACTTTATAATTTCCAGCTGATTGCAATGATTACAAAGCAGGCCCGCGTGTACACACTTCCACGTGTAATAATATTGCTAAAGAAAGGCGTATTAGTTGCTTATTGTAGCAACCTTACCTGGGCAGGCGATCCTCCTGAAATTGTTTTAATCCCAGGAACTGCTCCGTGACATTGGGAGTAAAATATTAATTGTGATGAATGTGCAGCGCATTGTAAATTGTCCAAGAAGCAAAGCCGTGCAGCCTTCGGCTGCAAGCAATGTAGCCTGCAGTGACGGCAGCGTGGAGACCAGAGAGACACATGGTCTGAGGCGATACGAGCGTGCAGACTACGAAGATACATGATCTGTAGTGACACGTGCATGTGAGTAGACTGTGGCGACAAGCAGTCGTTAGTGACAACGGCATTCAGACGAAAGAGGGTTTTTTTAAGTGATACGAGTTGTGGGGATTGTGAGAAAACATCATATGTAGTGACACCAGCGAGCAAACCGCAGAGACCCGTGGTTTGTATCAATGCCAATGACACCTCCCCCCCCTCCACCGCCCACTTGAACGTGCCCGATTCACACCCCCCACCACAACAACAACCCCCCAAAACATTTTGTCCATTCGTCTCTGGTGGCAGCTCTTGCGATATCGTTCGCAAAGTGCCACGATGTCAAAGTATAAAAAAAAATAAAAGGCGCGTCTGCGGAGAGGCGCGTGTGACCTGAACGTGGAAGGTGAGCCTTGCTTTCTCATGGATAGCGGAGCTCACAAAACGCTAACGATGTTCACCGCAGACAACCCGCCATTGTGCTCTAGAGAATTCCTGGTTCCCTCGTCATCTGGGCAACACAATACGAGCAAGTTTCTTTTTTCTTACCGTGTCAGGATTCTTTGTTTTCTGTTTCCCTCCCCCAGCTCTCGAGGAGCAAACAAAACACAACTTAGTTGGGGACCCCAGTGTCGTTGTAATGATGTGTCAGAATGTACATTTATTTACGCATTGCAGTAAATTTTGCATTAGCACCATCCAGTACGTCTACGAGGGCTGTGTTTCAACAATAAACAAGAGTAAGTTTGTGCTGTAATAAATTGTATCTTTCTCCCAGGAGCCTTGTGACTTTTTTTAGCTTACTTGGTCTTCAGAATTTTTTTTACCTATTCACAGAAGACACAAGCCACCATTCAGGCAATCAAACACGTCGGTTTGAACACACGAATAACTCGCTGGGATTTATTTGTCTACAAGGGTCCACGTGCGAGTATTCACGAGCGGGCTGCCCTGCATCCTGGACAAATGCCCTGTGGAACAAACGTGGCCGCTGGTTAGAGGTTGGCATTGCGAAGAACCCAGCGACGGTAAAAGGATATTCATCTCCGAGAGAGAGCCCTCAATTTCTATTCTGTTGCATATGGAAATTTGTTCGGGAGCTAGATGGCAATGTCGAGGTCTGCTGGCCACGAGAAGGGTTTCAGGGGAGAGATCGTGTTCTTTTGCTCTTCCTCCGTAGAAGGAGTACAGACTACCGCGATATTATGTTGTGGTCCACAGCAGAGGTGGGACAAAGTCATTGTTATGCAAGTCCAAGTCGAGTTGCAAGTCTTTGCACATTTTGCCGAGTCGAGTCTGAAGTCATCAAATTCATGACTCGAGTCTGACTCGAGTCCAAGTCACACGACTCGAGTCCACACCTCTGGTCCACAGTAACCCCACTGTGACCTGTAATCCTTCAATGAAGGATTAGCAACAAAACCCGCTCTAAAAAGTGAATGCATCGTGGTAAATTTCGCATGGGCGAGGGAACCTCTTTCCACATCCAGAACCGAATAAAATGTTCCAATGCAGATCTCCGCTCAACGGTTCTTCTATTGCCCACGTTGTTCCGAGACTCCTCCATCGATGGATGGATATCGTTTTTGGACCGTTTGGAAGGGGTGTGCATTGTGCGGCTACGAGCCGCGCGAAATGAAATGGCGGTCCAAAGAGGCCCCCCCAAAGCTGAGCTACAGCTCGTGAGCCGCCGGCGCCGCGCAACCGACTGAGATGCCAATCTAAAGAGGGCACCGCGCCAATGATTTATGTTGGCAAAGCAGGCACGATACAATAAAAAACTATCAACTAAATTTCGATTTAAAGCTTTCGTGACTGCAGGGATTCATCTTCTTGGTTCTTTCGGTAAAGTCACGTAGAAGGGAAGTAATAAAATAATAAAAATAAAACATAATAAAATAATTCTCACGACGTTTCGGCCACAACGCAAGCAGCCGTCCTCAGGTGGAGAACAGGTCCGTCGAGAAGACAGAGTCTGAATGGCACGCTCCAGGCTTGGAGCGACTATTTATGCTGGGATGGAGGGGCGAAGAGCGTCTTGACAAAATAATTTGCATATCAAGAGGAATTTAGCATATTTATGGGAAATGCAGATATGCGATGAGCATTACTTGTGAAATGCGTAGGAGGTTTGGCGAGGGGTTTAAAGTCATTATGCCCAACTATCAACTATTTTTATGTGACCAAGTAAAGCCGACCGAGCTGTAAAGCTCTTAAATTTGCAGAAGCGACCTGGCCACTAATGATAGCTCAAAGAAGTGGCTCATCGTGTGAAAATTTATATCAGCCAAATACTCTAAACACATTTTGGTTCGAAATGAGGAGGAGAAATCTGGAGGACCCAGAAACAAAATCCACGCACCCACGGAGAGAACATGCAAACTTTAAATATGCAGGCGTCAGGGTCGGGATTGAACCCACGACATCCTAAAAACCAGGCGAGGGAATTAACATCTCGCCACCGCGGCGCATCTACAGAGACGTCGGAAATAAAGTGCCGTATGTTACGTCGATTAAGGCATCTCTATCAATTACAAGCAGCACGATGACTTATCTGCGAAGCGTATTGCAGTATTCTGGAGCTATTGGCCAAGAGCCATTTCTTGTGCACGGCCACTTGATATTCATGAGCACGTGTTTTGAGGGTGTGCGAGGGACGGTGAGGGGGTTGCAATTAGCGATGCATTTATGCAGACGATGCGTGCAAAACGTGCGAGTTCTCCCCCACGTTTTATTTCAACGGATGTCCTCTGAGTAACCTATCACCAGTTGAAAAGGCCGGCCCCCTTTGAAAAACTTGTGCTCTGCTATAATGTTGACTTAGTGTCTTCTCCAGGCGTTCTAAAACCTGGAGTAACACATTTCATCGATACAGTCGGGGTGGGGAAAGAAATACGTGGGCGGTTTGCAAACAATCGCGTTCACGTTTGAAAATGCGTTGGCCCTGGCACGTTACAGGGATTCCTCTCAAGTAGGCCGAGACAGTCATTCCAATTTGCACCTTTTTTATGAACTGACGTCTCAAAGTCTCCGCGGAGAATTAATTATAGATGGGAACACTGCGATTCGAGCAGAGCCTCTGCCAAACGACCGTAGCATACGAATTCTCCTTCACCAATTACATTACGGTTTTTGTTAAAAGCACAACGCTTGCCGTGTTAGTGTTCAACTAAAAATTTTAGTGCGTTCAATTTAAACCTGAAGACGTTGATGGACGCGGCGTGCACATCGAAATTTGCGCTCGCATAAGTCTAGCAGCGAGGCAACCTGTGCTGACAATTTTGCAGATCATGTATGCAACTCAAGCCTTGAATTTCAAACAACTGGATTGTTTTATTTCCTTCAATGGGACGCACGTTATGACAAGTGCACAATAGCCTAGACTTGCGAGCAATGTCGCAGTATTTTAAACATTCGCGTTGAATAATTCGGCAGGCACGCTTTGGAAATTTATGGCAGAAAATACGAGGCGTGTAACGATGCATCGAATCAAATTGTGAAAACCAATTGTTTTTACCATGTGTGTACGTACGGTGTATAGATTTGTCGTTTCCAAAATATGATCGATTGTGTGTGTGTGTGATCAATGGTATAGAAGCGTTTCTTCAACTCAGCCAGCTCACAGGGTAGGCTGACGTTCCATTAATCTGTTCCCACGTGATGTCTATGAACAATGTGATAAAGAGGCTAATTGGTCTGAAATTCTTAAAATCAGCTTTATAACCCGTTTGAACAGGCTGATGATATACGTTATACGTCACATCAGGCACTACATTCATCACTCCATAAACAAAACGTGATTCTTGAATCAAATTGTGAACTCAAATCATTCATCGTATTACAGGGGAATTAATCTTTACATGGCAAGCAGCACTCAAAATCCAACTGTCAACTCTGTGCAAACTGGTCTCAATGAAGTCGCAGATTTTTATGAGCCTATATTAACATTTCTCAATGTAAAATCCATGAGGCGCGCAGGAGCCCAAGTAAAACAAATAATATCGAGAGTCCTCGCCAATATTACTAAACAACTCAAATAAAACGTAACCCTGGCGTGGGAGGCGAGACGAACGCCATGCGACACGCAACGTTACAGAAAGACCGCTCGCGAAACACTGGTGTGCGCCAACTGACCGCGAAGGCAAGAGTCGCCCTTCCGCATAAATCTTCACCGCATGGCAGCTCGTGGCAAAAGCATAGGTGTGATAAATCAGCTGGTAGGTAGGGGGGTCAGCGCAATGTACACATTTTCACGCTGTGCATCGCGATCCATTGGGCCAGACTCTCGGGCTCTCAGCCAGGCGCAACCCCCCCCCCCTCGACCCTCTCGACCCTCTCGCCACATCGCGGCAACCAACACGGCAGGTAAAAACCAAACACGGCCTCTGCCCAACTGCCGTGAACCAGAGGTGAGCTCAGGAGCGGGAGAGGGGGCGAGCTGGGGCAGAGGTGGGGGGTGGTGGTGCAAAAAGTGGCAGTTTCCACCAGCGCCATTAACGTTTGGATGGCCGTTGTACGTCATGGACACATTTTTCTGTTTGTTTTCATATAGTGTAAAACATTTTTTTTAAATAAATACCGAATAATTTTTGGTGTGTACAGAATTATATGTTCTATCCGTTTTATATTATATAATGAACACACAATGCACATGTGCAAGACATTTTTTTTGGGAAATTATTTGCCCCCTGTGAAATGTCCCCCTTCCAAAATGGTCACCTGAGTGCCCTCACCTGTCAGGCCTCAACGAGGCTTTGTTTTTACTGCCACTTAGATAAAAGTGAGGTTTGTATGTATGTGTATCTTTGTAGACTACACGCTCGTATCACCTCGGACCATATGTGTCTCTGGTCTACACGCTGCTGCCACTGTAGGCCACATTGCTCGCACTGAAGGCTGCATGGCTCTGCTTCTAGGCAATTTGAAATGCGCTGGACATTCATTACAATTAATCTTTTACTCCCAATTTTACGGTGCAGTTCCTGGGCTAAAACATTTCAGGGGGAGCACCTGCCCACATAAGTTTTCTACAGTAATCAAATAATATGCCTTTCTTTCAGCGAGATTCTTACACGTGGAAGTATGTCCATGCGGGCCTGCTTTCTATACATTGCAATCAGCTGGGAATCACAAAGTCAGCAATGCAGACATGCATGTATATATGTTGAACTTCTTTCGCACCGTGCGTAGCCTACCATGCTAATTGGAGGTGTGGGATCTCTGTATTTTGGACGATGGTCCTTCTTCAGGTAATATTAAGGCTTACAGAGAGCGAGAGAAAGGACATTATACTATAGATAATGAGTAGGGTTGGGTTAATTGCTGTTTGTGCAGCACAAATCAACAGGGTGCGGCTAGTAATGGCAGGTCGGGTAAAGAAGATATCAAAGAGTCATCAGAGTTTTAAGAATCCAAAAAGAAAGCCAGAGAATGTGAATCGCTGTGGGAGTTCTCCAACAGTGCCCTCCATCATGACACAAAGTCTATATGTAACATAATCATTGAGGCTCCATCACATGAGTATTACATGCCTCTCTCACATTTTTTTTCCCCATACGACAACGAGCACTTGACCCTCCGGCAAAAGGGAACACTTGAAGGAAAATCTTTCCCGACGAATTGCTGCTGCTTATCCAATATCACGAGCGCTTAATCGGGCATTTTGTTTGTAACATATATAAGTATATGGCAGGGAAAAAAATACGAAAAAAATTATTTGCAATGCATTATTTCAATCCACTCCTGGATGAAGGTCTCCCAGTGCTGTGATGGTCCTGAGGGTTGTTTGACCATACTTCACACTGCCAGCCAAATAGCTGCGGGTTGCTGTGGCCAGGAACGGAACTCAGGACACCGCGCTCATCGCGCAGTGCATTAACCACCGTGCCACCGCTCCCTGCCATGTATAGCATACAAGTAAATAAATAAAAGCCAATCACCTCTGGGAAGCTTTTAGCTTATAAGCCTCCAAATGGTCTCACTCCCCCTAACCTAACTGATCTGCTGTCTCATGTCGCAGGTCACTAACTCTATTCACTCAATGCAAGCCCACTAAGAGACGCCTTCCGTCCTATAAGCCAACGGTGGCAGAACTTCCCATCTCACGATGCCTGGGAAGATTCACTAATTTCACTGTCCATTTGTTTTGCCACGCCTCGAGACGTAATTGTTTAAACGGGATTTTAATAACATTTAAATGAGCGACAATGAGCTGTGATTTGTTTACCTGATTTTAATCTCTTAATTGTTGTAACTACAGATAGCGGTTGGTTTGTTAAGCACGAATTGAGGACCTGAGACCTACAAGGTGCTAAAGAAAGGTTTTGTTATTGTTGTTCTGGCTTCCTTCAGCATTCATCGTCGATGTGTGACACCGCTAGCTTTGTTAATATTTTATTCGCTTGTGTGCAGACGTCTTTGAGTTTAGCTGGCACTGCACATACCCGGGTCCAAATCCAAGCGGCCGCCTGTGGTCAAAACCAGGTTCTCGAGTGTGGTCAGTGGCTGGTCTCAGCCTTGCCATCAAATAATTGCTATGCAAAAAAAAACCATGAAATTAAATTTGGGTCTGAATTTTATTGCGCACAGTTCCAGCTGTGAGAACAAACTAAATATTGATTGGTCTGATTGTCATGTAATGAACATTACTGTCATGCAATGAACCCCAGAATATAGCACTTCTCATTCCACTGCTGGATGAGCACCTCACCATCTTGGTCAGTACGGGTTGGTGAAGGCAGAGCGCATAGACGTGGGAGCATAGGAGTAGAGTACAGCAATGCATTTTGCTGCACTTTGCTCCGCTGCCCACCACATCGCCCCACTGCTCGTGTGACAACTGGCTTCATCCATAGCCTATTAGCGATTTTGTGCTTGTTTACCCAGGAAAGCCTCAGTGAGTCTCAACGCTCTTTTCCAGAAGGGTCCTGCCAAGAGATTGGCCATTTGGCTATAACCAAAGGAGACCCGGATGGCGCCCGATCTTGTCACATCTCGGAAGCTAAGCGGGCGTTGACCCTGGAGAGCACATGTACGAGTCACCACTATGCATAAAACAGTGGCCTGGTGTGCTGGTGATGTTTACTCCTCAGAGCCAGCGCGTGACGGACGAGCGACGACTCCCTCGGCAGGAGCCACTCGCTGCGCCACGCGACTTTGTCGCCGCCGAGACGACCCGAGTTGTCCCGTTCGGACAACGCTGGCTGAGCGAAGCGTGCACGAGCGATTGAATCCTCCCCTCCGGTCAACGGTCAAAGCGCCCACGAGGACAACAGCAATAACAACAACACCGCCGCCAATGGAAATGATGGCTGGGGAACAAAAGCGAGCGACATCGTAAAATAGGCAGCCAAGTCAGTGGCCGCGACGAAAACGAAGGGAAGCTCAATTTGTGTCAGTGATCAGAGCCTGGTCCACTGTAGTACAGTACATCTTCATTCAAGGTCCGATGGTAAATTATTGCCCGTGGTGAAGGCTGTTCCGGCAGCAGTGTTTTGAGAGGTAGGTATAAATCCATTCATTTTTTTCTGGCTCTCACAAAAAAAAGGAACGGGGGCTCTGGCATGAATGGCGATGGTGACTATGCCGAGGCGATTGACAACTAATCCTGCCGAAATTACCAAGCGCTGCGAGGTCCTCGGAGCTGCAGTAAAACGTGACGCTTGCGCGCGATGCAATGAATGGCAAGTTGTCCGCTGTAAAGATTTTTCTGGCTCTTCTGCTGCATGCGTTTGTTTTTTGGGACAGACAGCGCTGGTAGTAAATAACCGCGAATCTCTTGAGCAGTTAGCCGTTACGTCTGGGTGTAGGCTAACGACACGCACACATTGCCATTCGCAGGACTAACGCGAGACACTGGATGCCTGCACACATGTGCATCTCAGTGACATTGTTACGGCACTCATCAAGAAAGCGCCCTTCACTTCTCGGCTTGGAGAAAAAAAAACATGCAGTAAGCTTATTACACTCACAGGAACCATCAATAACACTCTGTCATCAAGGCAATAAAAAGAGATTTTTTTTTCCCCTTCTTATTTTCATTTTATTTCGAAAATTCGTGGCTAATAATCCACTGTATTGAATATTTATTTTAAAAAAACCTTTGCAATGAGCACCGTTCTGTGACAATCTTTAAATTATCCTTGTGACTCAATATAACAATACAAGTTGATGCACTGCAGCGTGGTGGTGGTGCATGATGACACGGGCAGTGTTATTTTGTTAAGTGCCATCAGTTTGCATGACGTCCGTCAGCACGACACAGCTCCTGGACCCGCATATTAATCAAAAACAATTGCCTGGAAAGGTCACGGCGTGACCTCTGCATGCTCCTCTTTATTGGAGAGAGAGGGGGGGTGGGTGGTGGTTGAAGGGTGGAGGAGGAGGAGGACTCACCCTCGATGCAGATGATGTGTTCTCGCAGCTGGTTCTGCACCGACGGTTCCTCCACGCGTTCCAGGAGGTCGTAGATGGCGTAGATGTTGGGGTGGACGCTCTCGAACCGCTGGATCTCGGCGCGAATGGCAGCCGAGATGGACAGCTGCTGCTGCTGGAAATTCATCGCCTCTCTCCCCTTCCCGTCTCTTTGTCTCGTTCCGCTCCTCCCTCGCCCCCCCCCCACCCCCAGCACAGCCGCACGTCGCCCGCCGGCTCCTCGTCGGTTCGCCCGGGACAACAAAAAAATCCCGGCCGCTCACGCTCTTATGGGGCGGACCACCATGGTACTCCACCGCGGCAAATCAAAAAAAAGAGAAAGCTAAAAAGAGGCACCAAAACCCGAGCGGGCGAGTCACCCCCCCCCCCCCACCACTCACCAACCGGCGGGCTATTGCCTGGCACCTCTTCCCATCCGCCAGCGGCTCTGTTGAGGAAACTCCCCGTTAAATACTGCTCTATGGTCTCCCCTGCAGCCTTGTCTCTCCACCACCACCCACCCACCCACCCCCCTATCTCTGATCACCTCGTACCCCCAAGTCCGAGGCACGAATGGTTTGCTCCGCCACCCCTCCTTCCCTCGCCGCCCACCCCTCTCGACGTGTACAGTTGCTGCCAAACATATGCAGCGTGGGGTGGGGATGTAGGATGGGTGCTGGGGGGGGAGGGAGGAGAATGCAGAGGAGGATTTGAGCACAATGGATTTAATCGCATCCCAGGCTTCCAGTGACGAGGAGAAAAGTTTGCTGCGTTTTAGGAGATTTTTTGTTGTTGTCGTGATCGTCCGTACATTACATAGGTAAGGTGGAATCAACGGTGGCACAATGGCTAGCGGACTGAGCTGTCAACCTGGCCGCCTGAAGTTTTAATTCCCGGAAGAGATATCTGAAGGAGTGATGATGGGCCACCGCCAACGCCGAGAAGCCGCCGCGTTGGAAGGAGCACAATCCCGAAATCTGCTGATGGTCCCAAGATTTGCTGATGGTCCCCAGAGTCAGGACTGTCCTGGCTGAGAGGGGCAATCTCTCTGCGGCTGCACCTTTAATCTGGAACTCTCTCCTGCTCCGCATGGGAACCGTTCAAACTCCCTGTTGTAGGTCAGCTGAAGGCTGGCACTCGCGTACCCGTGACCCCCGCGCGTTCCCGAGTTCGCATGGTTCGTCTGTTTCGCGAAATTTATTACGCGTTCCAAATTACTTTTTATAATTATTATTACACCTTTCGCCAACCAACATTGACCAGCATTGAAGATGCTTAAAACAAATCGCATGACTGGCAACAGAGCGGGCAGCCTTTAAACCAGCAGTCGGAAGACAAAAGGCTGAACCTTGTTTGAACCTAATGCTAGCACTGCCCGTGCATTTGCGTGGGATCCACGACCAGGGTGGAGTGGGGGGGGGGTGACATGAACACGGACTCAGGAACCCGGCTCAACGCCACGGGATTTGAGCGATGTGATCACACAGATGTGCGTGGTGATGTCACCACGGCAACACTTGCCTGACCTCGCACCAGCCAGACAGCAAAACTTTTAAATATATATTATGCTTGCGGGTGGAGCGGTGGCACAGTGGTTAGCGCACTGCACTATGAACCTGGTGATGTCCTCGGGTTCGATTCCACGTCGCGGCTCACATCAGTTGCGAGTGATTTCTAAAACGGTCCTTGGCACCCCTTCACAAGCCCACACTGAGCAGCATGGGGGAAGCATGCTTGAACAATTTAAATGACTCACACGGCACAGGGATGCCTCCATCCAGCAGTCGGCTGATGAAGGGTTCTACAACTATTCCTATTTTACAGAAGTAAAGGACAAAATGCCGAGTACATGGAGCCTGTCTGTGTTAAGGACACATTTCATAAGAACATTAGATCTGTATATAGCATCATTCATGCATCTCAAAATGCCAAAGGATTTGTAAAACACACGGAAGCATGGGAAACCACTCAGCTACAACCGGCACCAACAACTGCCCAAGCTCTGCAGTTGATATATGTTTTGGATGTGAATAATTGTCCAATTTAAAACGAGCACAAAAATGTGCAGCGAGTGGCCACGTTGAAAAGAAAAGGCACCCACTATTTACCCCACCACAAGCATTGCACTATATAAATATAGATCTTCCATGTAGCCTGCGTAGGGTGTTGAGGCAAGTGCTGCTCGCTATCAGCACCTATAAAGGCGAGAAGCACGGCCGTCTGCCTCTGTGCTTATTATATATATTCTCCTGACAGCAATAAACTGTAGCTATTTAATCTAACAAGGCTCAATTTAACTCTGAATGTATAATGATAAAAACTATTTTATATTTAAATGGGATTTGATACGCATGCTAATTAATCAATGGCCACTAATAGACATATATTTACCCAATTCACGACAGAAGTAATTTTGGTACTTTTAAATGCGTCACTGCGGTGTCAGCCGGTGTGCGTGAATAAAAATAATTTGATCTCCAGTAACGCTTTGCTTTCATTTAGTGCATTTTAAAATGTCACTTGAATTTCCGTTCATTTCATTTTAAATGGAAACCGCAACTGCATCTTAAGTGACCTCGCCCTCCGTTGTTGCCCCAACCGCTCAGTAACGGAACTTATGTTTGATAGGAAAAAAAAAACATTACAAAGGGCTCACATGTTTAGCGGTTCCTCTTGCCAGTTCCATTGTTAAATTGAAAACAATCTGGAGAGAAAAGCCTCGGTCCTCAACTCCGTAAGCCGCATTCACACCTAAACCAAATGGCTGAAACACATTACCTTAGCAATTTTAAATGTGCTTGCGAATAAAGAGCTTGGCAAAACGTTGCCAAACGTTGTACGAAAGTGAGTATTTACCAATGCGTGAATTAGTTCTAAAGCTATACGTGATTATATATCAATACATAATCTCCTTGGATTTCAGTGCCACTTCAAAGACTGCACTGTGTTAAATCTTCACGGCAACACCTGTTTATAGGTGCTTGTGAATAAAAACGGCATACATATCCACACGATAATTTAACAAACCTATGTCAATCTACTGCTAGATGAAGGCCATCCTACGCCATGTTGCTCACGGGGGGTTGTTTGACCCATAATTCACCACGTTGGTCAGTGCGGGTTGGTGAGAAATAGTCGCCAGTCGGTGTATGTCCTAAAGTTGCTGAGTTGAGACTTGCGATGTTGCTGAAATGTCAGTGCAATGTTATCGCAAGGTTGGGACTATTTAAATAGCCTGCTCATCGATGAAATGCTGTACCCCGGTGAGTGCATGGTGGGTTGTTTCCAGATCTAGTGGTGATATCATAGCACTTACTTTCATAGGCAGAGCCAAGTGCATCTGGATCAATAAAAAAGCAGTAAAACGCACTTCTTGCTAAAGCATGCTGCAAAAGCGCTTTCAATTACCTCGACACTGATGCTGCACAACTGCTCAGCGACTATTAATGACCATCTGCTTTATTATCAACATTTATTTTTATTATCCCAAAAAATTCACGCAATTTTGCACTCCCCAAAATTTTGGGTTCAAGCAGTTTGATTTCTGACCATGGCTAACATGGGAGATGAGTGATATCAGAGCCGGTCCAGCCCCCCTCCCCCCACCCCCCTTCACCAACCTGCGCTCGCCAGTAGAGTGAAGTATGTTCAATATCTCCAATTACCGAAATTGTAGGAGGCCTTTATTCATTGGTGGACTGAGAATAGTGAGAACATTTATCTTTTAAGCATATCCGTGGAATTCCACTTCTGACAAACGATCTGCTGAGGACCCCCTAAACTCTCTGCTGGAGTGCAATTATCGTTTTCTAACCAGTGGCAATGTTGAGGCTCTGCGAAACAATACATCCCAGAAAAGTCATGCGGGAAGCGGGTAGATGGGGTGGGGAGAGAAGAGAAAAATCTCGCACACCGGGACCGTAAAAATGCTGGCGATCAATGTGCATTGCGAAGCTCACGTTGCAAAAGGTACCGTTAGTCATTTGACGTCACTCCCAATCGTCAATGTCAGTCATAAGTGCAGCCTTTAAAATAATCATCACCAGCCATGATCAATCCAATGCTGGAAAAATGCCTCCTCAAGCCTTCGCCATGGCCCACGATCCTGTGATAGAAAAATCCGCGTTGCACCTGCACACAAGCTAATTTCATTGCTCTATCTCCACGGAGGACGTTCTGTCAGGCACATTCTCTACTTTCAAATACATAGAGTAGAATACAATGATATTTCCATCATCTGTGTCCCTATTACCCACTAATTATATTACCCATAGACTGTTATTCCTGTTATCCACGTATATTTGCACACAAGAGGTGTTACCCGAAAGTGGTCTCTCAGCAGTGCTGAATTCATCCCCATATCTGAATATTACTTGCAGATACAAGAGATCAACAAAAGGTGGCACCAAATCCATTCAGATTTCCCCATGAAAACTTGAAACATTCACCCACAAATGCTGCCACAGAAACCCTAATCTTCTTCCTATTATCCACATTTTTTTCCCCGTGGATAAGTCACCAGAAAATCCATCATATTATTCACGAGTCAATTCAAAGTGATTTCCTGCTCAAGTGAGCATGGCCATGTTGCTCATCTCCTATTAACAGCGGTGAGCCAGTGAAATTCTGCATTCCAATTGTGGGGAGAGAGGGGGGGTCTATCCAAAGGACAAATAAAGTGGTAATAATTTGATCGACCCCCAGATGAATGATTGGTTAAGTCCAACCCCCAATCAGGATTTTAACTCGCAATCTTCTCATTGCGAATGACTCGCTCTACCGCTGAGCCGCCAGGCTTATTGTCGCAGATATGCGGAGACAATGGTGGGCCCTCTACATCAATGAGAATAAGGGAAGTTCCACCGAGAACGTACAAGAGCGAAGAACCGTGCACCAAAAACGTGTCAAGTATAATTTGAGAAAACATGGCACCCAGCGCCGATTATAATTCAGGTTGGCAGATGGCCGGCACAACTGCCTTTGGGAGAGAGCCCCCCACGTCTGCTGGGCTATTAAAGAGTCCGCGAGGAAAAGGACCAATTACACCGGCCCACACCATTTACATAATGCCTCATAAGTGTGCCACGTCAGCCCTGCCCCTAATTGTTACGTGGTTCGTCATTAACGACGCTCTCCTTATATGTGGGCGATGTCTCTGTTAGCATTTATCAAGCAATGTCATTGTGTCGCACTAAATGACTTGGGCTAAATTATGCAGCAACAACAAAAACACTCAGAGGATTTGTAAATAACACCAACGTCCGAAAAGGAAAAAATATTTAACATGTAATGTTTTTTGGGAAATGGCCCTTCTTCATAGCAGACATATCAACGGATCTGCTATGAAAATGTATTATTACTCAAAACGTACGTAAATATGTATTCATTTTTCCTGTTAGGGA